TCTACCCAGCATCTTCTTTTAGTAGAGGCTGGTAACCTCATGGGATCACAAGGTAGTCTACCTTGTCAGCAAACATGGAATCTAACTCCTTGTTAAATTTAAAACTGGAGTCCTCTCTGCTAGTATAGCTTGAGGATGTATCATTCAGCATACACATAGGCTTCTTAAAGAACCAATAAAGTTCCTGTTGGCACAGCTAGGCTTCTGTTCCTTAGACAATAACTTGAATGGGCACAACGAATGTTTTGCCTCTGTGATTATTTACTCACTGCTTCTGAGGCTGACTAGTCCCCTCTTCTGGTATATATCATTTTTAAATTTAGATAATTAGTATATGGAATTTGGTAATGTCATGTTATAGAGAATAGAGAGCCATTCTGTTTTTTCTAGGCTTAAAGTCTCGTATCTATTTTAGTTCAGGGCTTTTGCTGTAATAGTCTGATTTTCAGATGTTTTTCAGCTTTGGGTGCTGAATAGACTGCATCACCAGTATCTCTCCCTTGTCTTCCTTTCCACCTTCCCAATTCCCAATGCATGGGAGAACACTTTGCTGCTCTGTGTGCATGTGTGTTTGAGAGAGAGAGAGAGAGAGAGACAGATAGACAGACAGACAGACAGACAGACAGACAGACAGACAGAGACACAGAGAGAGACATAGGGAGGGAAGGACATCAGACACATTTAGTTATAAGCCAGGATCAGTTTCCAATGGTTTTTACTGATAAAGGTTAATTTGAGAGTTCACCAGTCTCTCTCTCTAAGGGCCAGCCAAATAGCTCAGAGGATTAAAGTGCCTGCAGGCAGGCACAGGGGCCAGGGGTTCGATCCCCAGGCGCACTGAGATGGCAATTGGGACTGGGCGTGGTGGCATGCACCCAGCTCTTGGGAGGCTGTAAACAGGCGGATCACTATGAGTCCAGTCTAGTAGTGAGACCCTGAACACCCTGTAGACCCTTCCCTAAAAAAAAAAAGTTCACCAGTCTCAGGCATGTGTGGCACTATGTATAAGTTATATCAAACAGCAATTTATTTCATTCTTAGAGATTCTTAACTAAATTGGGTAATTATTATATATTTGTTGATTTGGTTTAGAATATCCTTTGGATTTATTACTTTATCTTTTGCATAAAGAATGTGAGCTTTTAACTTGATCTTTTCTCAAAATTATTATAGAGAAAAAAATTAAAATATATCACCTTTGGGTAAGGGGCAATTTGGTTGTCATGCTTTCCTAGAAAACAAATGGGAGACAGAGCTGCAAATATTTATTTCATCACAGCAAAAATTCAGAATTTTTACTTTAAGGAATTTATGAAATAGAATAATTTTGGCCTAAAATAACACCGGTATCTGGAATTTTATGTATCCTACACCATCGGTACTTGGCTACCTTTTGTTCTGCCATTACCATCAGCTGTAACAACTGTCTCCTTTAAGGTATTCGGCTCTCCAGGAATCAGAAAGAGAAACTTAGCTCTCGGTACTTCCTGAAATAAGTGCCTTATGTGTCGAGTGTGTAGACTAACCGTGGAGTACTTGTCCAGCAGATGCGAACCTGAGATTTGAGAAACTCAGATATTAAATATATAAATTATCTGTAACAGTCTCTAAGGAGAGCACCAGACTTGTATCAATTAAGTTAAAAGCCATTTGATTGCAGATAGGACCCTCCATACAGATAAACTACCACATTGCTTTAATCCTTTCTGATAAACACATGTCTCAATGGACGATGAAGGGACCTTTTGCTGAGTGAAACTAAATGTTGCAGCATTAGCTTTTTGTGCTGTTTTCTCTGATATAAGACACAAAAATAGTTTATTGGGCCAAGAAGTCTTGGGGAAAAAAAGTTCAAGAAAATGAAAAGTACAGAACAAATAAAATGCTGTAAGACATATGCAAAACAAAATGTTATATTATTAGAGTTTGGGACTGGAGAGATACCTCAGTGGCATAAGTGGCTGCCTGGCAAGCACAAGGACCCAAGTTCGATCTCCAGTATCACATGTCGAGCTGGCCCCAGAACCAGTCATGGTGGCGCACACCTGTAATCCCAGCACTAGGGAGGCTGAACCAGGAGGATTACTACAAGTCCAAACTTCATACAGAGACCCTGTATCAAAAACAAAAACATAATAATAATTAGAGTTTATATTATAACAGTTAGAAATGGCTTAGCCCCGTGACAATATTTAGTGACTTATTAGTAGTACTATTAAAGTATTTCATGCTAGCCAGGCATGGTGGCACATGCCTGTAATCCCAGCACTCAAGAGGCTGAGGCAGGAAGACTGCTGTAAGTTCAAGACCCACCTGGGCTACAAAGTGAGCTCAAAGCCAGCCTAAACTGCACAGTGAGACCCTGTCTCAAAAAGACAAAAATCTTAAAAATGAAATAAAAATAAGTAAATAAATTATCTGATGCTGTTCTATTTGTAATTTTTCACTTTGGAATTATTTCAAAAAATAGTACGTATTACTGAAAATATTTTCTTGTTAATGTTTTATTATATAGTAGGTTGGAGTTATATAATTTGCTGGTTCTATTTTTTATTTTATGGAAAAAAAAGGTAAAACAAAATGTCCTAACAAAATAATAGAATAACAATAGTTAACACATTGCATATTGTTATCTTTAAAATTTCTCTGATCAAAACTAGCATAAAGCCTCCTTTTCAATGAATTGAGACACTAATAGTATAATTCACTTGCACTTAAAAATAATTTTTGTTCTGTGTACGAACAAATTTTTTAAATTATGTTTATTGATACAATCTAAATACACATAATGATCACATTGATCGGAAGGCTTGCACCTACCTGTACATGACGCAACTTGATTTTTCCCCCTCCTCTAGCTTCCCTCAACCTCTCTTCCCAGATTCTTTTCTGCAGTATGTATTTCTGCTCCAGAAGCAGAAGTGTGCCTAGTGTAAGATAGGTGAATGCCTGAATTAGTTGGAATTGCCCTAACTAAACCTAAGTAGAATAGAGCAACTCTGATAAAGGAGACAATGCCAGTACTGCTTATGTTTTCTAGTTTATACTGTGTTAGCACTGCTGTCTCTAACTTGTGGTGAGGTCTTTTTCCCCTACATTAAGGTAAGAGAAGAGGGACTAGGGCCGGCCAGATAGCTCAGCGAACTAAAGTGACTGCTTAGGTAAAGCGGAGCAACCGGGGTTCCACCCCTGGCTTACCATGT